GGAAACGGGCGGGTCAGAACGGGGCGGTATCAAAAGGGGCCCCCGGGGGTCCAGGTTCAGGGACTAGGGCTGCCATGGTTAGGTTACTTCTTTCTTTTTGTTTTTAAGAAAAAAAAAGAAAGAAGAAAAGAAATAAAAATAAAAAAAAGAAAAAAAAAAGGGGGGACCGGGGAGGGATAGTTCCTAGGAGGAATGAAAGGGCCAGAAATCTCCCTCCGCGCCCAAGAGGACTCGACACCGCTAGTAGCGCAGATGCAGCATGGAACCCGTGCCATACCCTTACCCTTCATGCCAGTAAACCAGCAATCTGGGATAGCAACCTCACATCTGCCGAGCTACCTCGGTGGACAAAGAGAGGGGCGGCCGGATATCCGCCACAAAGCATACCTCCTTCAGCCACCACCCCCGGAATCCGAAAGGTGGCTTCCAGAGATACACCCGTCGCCCAAAAGACACCCAAAGCTACTCCGGGATACCGGAGAGGGATCGGGACATCCCTAGGCAATCCAGATTCCACGGCAAATACGCCACCGCCAAGAAACCTCAACGGAATGGGATGGACCCCGGTGTCCTTTCCCCTACCTAGGAACTAGCGCGCCTGTGTGAGAAATCACGAAGGCTAAAAAGAGGAAGGGCAAAAGGGAGGGGTGAGGAGGAGGAGGAGGAATGGAAAAAGGGGAGGATGGGGAGGATGGGATAGGGGAGGGGAGAATGGGGGGTAATTAGGTTCGGTCTGAGGAAGAAGACCGACAGGGCTAATTCCTCAGACCAAGAGCCTCTTCACCACGCCAAGGAGCCCCCCTTGAAGAGGTACATGTCATATAACACCTACGCAATGGAAGGCATTCAAGGTGTGATCCACAAAAGGGAAGGCACTCCATAACCCCTATGGGCTTAGTGCACTATTATTAATATAATGACAATCCATTCTATACACAAGTTCCAGATCAGTTGGGTATCAAGCACTCTTAACTCTTCCTCCCATCAGCCAATTTGGTCTTCAGTATTTTCAGCCTTTCCTTCAACTATTTTACATTTTACCTTCGGGATCCATTTTGTAGCACTTTGGACTTTTTTCTCCTCAAGGAAGGTTCCTTGATGTTGGTGAGGGGCTCTTGATTTAGGGAATTGGATCTGTGCTCCAGTTCCCCGAATTAAGCCTGAATGCCTTCCACATCCCCCCCCCCCCCAGGCGCTGTATAATCCTCTGGATTCAGCGCTTCCCCCTTAATTATAATAATAATAATTTGGACTTTTTCTATCTGATCCACATATTTTTTTAGGTGTGGACACAAAGCTGTTTTCCAATGTTGACCTAACATATGTAATGAAGGGCTTTTTGGCACCTCTTCATTCATACATGTGAAAGCTATATTATAGTTAGCCAGTGTAGAATATGCATCTTGCAATATTTATATACTCTGATGACTTTTTTCTCATTAATACAGGTTAGCCATCACTAATCCGGCATCGTTGGGACCTGTAGTGTGCCGGATTAGTGAGTTTGCTGGATTACAGAGTGGTTAGGTTAGAATACACTTAATTAACCTATCAATAGAGACACTTTCTACTACATCTTCCTCATTTTCATCACTGCTTTCTCCTCCACTGGCTTGCTGTGGATTTACAACCATCTGCACAATTTCTGAGTCAGTATAATGATGAAATTGGAATCAGTATAATGACTTCAGTCAGTATAATGATGAAATTTGAAATTATGCTAGCCAAAATTAGTACCAGATTACTGATGGAACTGGATAACCGAATGCCGGATTAGTGATGGCCGACCTGTAATAACTCCTAGATCCTCTTTCCTGTATGATAAAATACTCTCAATTGGGGATAACAAGAGTCTATAAATGTTTATTAATAAAATATGGAGTTGGGAAATTTTCCTTTAGCAACAGTGGTAGAAGAATAAGCACAGCACTGCTCTTGTAGCTACAAATCAGTGTAGTAATTTCAAATATACAATTATACTATTCTTTCAAGAGGGTTGGGGTGGAGGGGATGCTTTGATGTTAACAAAGCTCTAGTTCTTCACACTAAACTATCTTTATATGGATGAAATCTGATTACCTTCCATTCCTCAGAAGCTGTATGACCTTTATGGGTTTAGTGCTTCCCCATCAATGTTATATTTTACATCAAGTACTAGAATTTAGTTATTTCCATTGTCTAATATTCAAGCAATTTTCTTACAAAAGTTCAGCACTGTACATAAAACTGTGTGTGTGCTTTCCTATGCTGAAACAAAAGTGCAAGGTACATTACTGTAGCATGTTAAAATAGTCTTTAAAGTTTGATGGAAAATGAAGCACCACATGAACAACCTGACTCAGCTTGAGGGTTGTTTGTAATTCTAAATGCTGCACGTATCAGCTCAGTGTGATAATCAATAACTGAACCTCTCACAAAGTCCAGTGAGATTTCGTCGATAACCACACGTGTTCCATCCCGCTCAAAAACCCTATGAAAGAAAAATTATTGGCAATTACTCTTACTACATTCATGGTGTGGTGCTAGATGCAAAGGGGTCATACAGTGCCTGAGGAAATGTATAGCTTATGGTCAAGACTGCATTAATGCAGGACATTAAACAAATGTTATAGAAATAAAGGGTTGTGCAACATCCACCTCTCAATAGGGGTGGCCTTGATACTAGGAAAGAGCTCTTGATCCAGCTTCTGATTATTATCTCTCATTCCCCAGGTGCTGTATGACTGACCTCTATTAGGTTTAGCACTCATCCATGATTATATTTTAATATAATTTTTTAATGAAAATAAGAAAAAATTTTGGAGTGAGTTAAACAAGTTTAAGAAAGCCTAGGGAAAGTATGGATTTGTCAGTTAAAAACAGAGTAGGGGAGTTAGTAGATGGGGAGAGGGAGGTATTAGGTAGATGGCGAGAATATTTTGAGGAACTTTTAAATGTTAAGGAAGAAAGGGAGGCGGTAATTTCATGCACTGGCCAGGGAGGTATACCATCTTTTAGGAGTGAAGAAGAGCAGAATGTAAGTGTGGTGGAGTACGTGAGCATTACGTAGAATGAAAGGGGGTAAAAGCAGCTGAACAGATGGGATCATGACAGAAATGTTAAAGCCGGGGGGGATATAGTGGGAGTGGGTTGGTACTTTGTATAATAAATGAATGAAAGAGGGGAAAGAAACCTAGATTGCAGAGAGCATGTATAGTCCGCCCTTTATATAAAGGGGAAAGGGGACAAAAGAGATTGTAAAAATTTATAGAAGGAATAAGTTTACTGAGTATACCAGGAAAATATACGGTAGGTTTATAAATTGAAAGAATAAGAGGTAAGACAGAATGTAGATTGCGGACTACAAGGAGGCTCAGAGTTGGTAGGGATGTGTAGATCAAGTGTATAACATTTAAGCATATATTGGAACAGTATATAGAATAAAGGTAGGGAAGTTTTTTTATTCAGCATTTAAGGAATTAAAAAGGCATAAGATAGAGTGGAAAAGGAGAGCAATGTGGCAGATTTGCAAGTATATGGAATAGGTGGTATTTACTAAATGCTGTAAAGAGTTTTTATGAGATAGTGAGGCCAGGATAGGGTGTGTAGAAGAGAGGGAGATTACTTCCCAGTAAAAGTAGGTCTAGACAGGGATGTGTAATGTCACCATGGTTGTTAATATATTTAAAAGAAGGGGTTGTACAAAGGAAGTAAATGCTAGGGTGTCGAGAGGGTGGGAATTAAATTAATGGGAATCATATTCAAAATGGGAATTGACACAGTTACTTTTTGCTGAAAAATGATACTGTCTTATGGAAGATTCTGAAAGAAAAATTGCAAAGGTTAGTGGATGAGTTTGAGAATGGTGTGTAAAGGTAGAAAGTTGAAAGTGGAACATAGAAAAGAGTAAGGTGATGAAAGTATCCAAATTGAAATAGATAAAGAAAATTGGATATCAATTGGGGAGGAGGATATGAAGAAGGGAATTTTTTCAGATACTTGGGAGTTGACGTGCGGTGGATGGATTTATGGAAGGATTAGGCGTTAAACATAGAATTGATGGGAGAAAAAAGGTGAGTGTCGTTGAGGTTATATGAGGAAGTCAAAAAACGTTATCTATGAGCAAAGACGGGAATGTATGAAATATAGTAGTACCAACACTCTTATATGGAGTGAAGCTTGGGTGGTAAATGCAGCAGCGAGGAGACGGTTGAGGCAGTGATGTCGTCCTGTCCTAAGGTAAGTGTGGTGATAAATATTATGCAGAAAATTCGAGTGTGGAAAATTAGAGAAGGTGTGGAGTTAAATAAAAGTATTAGTCAGAGGGCAGAAGAGGGGTTTTTGAGGTGTTTGGTCATTTAGAGAGAATGGTCAAAGTAGAATGACATGGAAAGCATATAAAACTATAGGGGAAAGGTAAGGAGGGGTAGGGGTCGTCCTCGATAAGGGTTGGAAAAGAGGGGGTAAAGAGGGTTTTGTGGGCGAGGGGCTTGGGACTTCCATCAAGCGTGCATGACGTGTTAGATAGGAAGTGAATGGAGACGAATGGGAACTTGGACACTGACGATCTGTTGGAATCGTGCGAGCAGAATATTTAGTAAAAGGGATTCAGGAACCGGTTATTTTCATATAGTCGGACTTTAGTCCAGGAAATGGGAAGTACAAATTCCTCACTTTTAAAAGGAGAGGTTTGGGATATGCATTGTTTGGAGGGTATATGTAGTTTATCTTTAATACGTATATGCTCTAAAACTGTTGTATTTCTGAGCACCTCTGCAAAAGCAGTGATAATGTGTGAGTGTGGTGAAAGTGTTGAATGATGATTAAAGTAATTTCTTTTTTGGGGATTTTCTTTCTTTTTTTGGGTCACACTGCCACGGTGGGAGACGGCCGACATTTCCCACCAAAGCAGGTGGTTCAAAACAAAAAGAAACAACTCATCATCACTTACTCCATTACTGTCATGCCAGAGGGTACAATATTACAATTAAACACTAGCACATATTCTCCACACAGTGCTTACCACCACCCAGAACCAAGTCTGGCTAACCAGTTCCACCAAATCCTTTCATAAATGTTACCTTACTCACACATCCAACAGCATTTGTCATAAAAACCATTTGCCTGCAACTCGCTCCTATCTAAATGCTTCACACACTTGCTGGAAGTTTAAGCCCCTCCCGCACAGAACACCTGTCCCCCCCCCCTCCTCCAATCGTTTCTAGGATGATGCACTCCAAGTCATTTTTTCTTCCATCCTCTCTAAAAAATGCCCAAACCAAACACACCACACACCTCTCACCTCTTCAGCTTCCTGGATAATACTTTTTGTATCCCTTCACATTCTTCTAATCTCCAAGCTATAGATTCTCTGCACACATTCCCTCTGCACGACATCGCCACTGCCTCCAGTCTTCTCTTTTGTTGGCAACATTCATCCCCATGCTCACACTTATATAAGAGTGCTGGTACCACTATAATACTCTCATGCAGCCCTTCTTTGCTTCCATGGATACATTCTTTATAGTACACTATAAAAGAATAATCAAATGTTGACAAATAAAGGATAGTCACCTAAAGTATTGGTTGACAAGCAAACCAATTAAAAATATTATTTTTATATTCTGGGGGCAAGTTCTAAACCCTTGTGGGAGAAACAGGACTAGGGAATATAAGATAATCGGGTTTGATCCGAAGAAGAGGATACTCTAATTCCTTAGATCAAGAGCCCTTCAACAGCATCAAGTAATAAAGTAATTAAAAGCAACTTAGAAAATGAAAAATGTTTTAGAAGTTCACACAACATGCAAACCTTAATGATGAAGGGGGAAATCTATAGGTTAAGAAACAATTATAGGTAAAAGTGGGTGGAAGTACTGCTGACCAGGGGGCAAACACCTAGTGTCACAAACCATAGCATGTACGTATAATAATATGAGCAAATGTAACCTCATCCTCACTTTATAAAGGTAAAAATTATTGAACTTCTTGTAACATTACAAGATACCAACCCTTGATTAATGACATACGATCATATTAAAGTGAACAGAAATATAAATTTTGTAGAACCCTGCTGTAGAAAGTTGAAGGCAGTGTTTATCTGTGAAAAGAAGGGTCAGGCTAATTGACTACATCCCAATTTAAATACAGTACAAGTCTTGCATTATTCAGAGCAGAAGTTCCCCTTTAAAGTGTCCGTTACCTAACAGCTCACCTGCTCCCCCTCCTCTCTATACAGTGAATGTAAATATTCCAGCATTCTGAGCATGAAGTACTTTACTATGTTAGCAAGTTATACAAGACTTTGTAGTTTAATTTACTTACTACAGGATTATGTACCCCAAAGCTGTTACTGCTGTTATGCTCACCATCATATTCTTTAATTATTATATTTATGGGGGAAGCATTAAACTTGCAAAGGTCACACAGCACCTGGGTAGTGGAAAAGGTGAGATCTGATTCCTTGGATCAACAGCCCTTCACCAGCTTCAGGTCACTCCCACTGAAGGGAAAACTTGAGAGTAAACTTGAGTGTGGGTTCTCACCATGAATAACTGCAGCACTACAATACTTTCTTTATTCTTTAAGTCCATATGTAATAATGAGCTAAAATAAAGCAAAATACAATTTGTCAACAAGCACAAAGACTATGTTAGTTTAATTTTTTTTTTTTTTCAACAAGTCGGCCGTCTCCCACCGAGGCAGGGTGACCCAAAAAGAAAGAAAATCCCCAAAAAGAAAATACTTTCATCATCATTCAACACTTTCACTACACTCACACATTATCACTGCTTTTGCAGAGGTGCTCAGAATACAACAGTTTAGAAGCATATACGTATAAAGATACACAACATATCCCTCCAAACTGCCAATATCCCAAACCCCTCCTTTAAAGTGCAGGCATTGTACTTCCCATTTCCAGGACTCGAGTCCGACTATATGAAAATAACCCGTTTCCCTGAATCCCTTCACTAAATATTACCCTGCTCACACTCCAACAGATCGTCAGGTCCCAAGTATCATTCGTCTCCATTCACTCCTATCTAACACGCTCATGCACGCTTGCTGGAAGTCCAAGCCCCTCGTCCACAAAACCTCCTTTACCTCCTCTTTCCAACCCTTTCGAGGACGACCCCTACCCCTCCTTCCTTCCCCTATAGATTTATATGCTTTCCATGTCATTCTACTGTGATCCATTCTCTCTAAATGACCAAACCACCTCAACAACCCCTCTTCTGCCCTCTGACTAATGCTTTTATTAACTCCACACCTTCTCCTAATTTCCACACTCCGAATTTTCTGCATAATACATGTATTTACACCACACATTGCCCTTAGACAGGACATCTCCACTGCCTCCAACCGTCTCCTCGCTGCTGCATTTACCACCCAAGCTTCACATCCATATAAGAGTGTTAGTTTAATTATGAATAAAAATACAATGCATGGTTCAAGAATATGCATACAGTATTAAAGTACATAATTTTTACAAATATCAGGAACTGACTAAATAATTATCAGAAGATGCACTAAGGGTTACCCTAAGTAATCTATACACATGCTGCTATATATGATAATTTATCTAACTGTATTTATGTGTACATGTACCTGAATAAACTTACTAAGTCTCCCCAAAAATTCCACCACCCCTCTGAAAAGCCCTCCCAAATAAAAATAATAATAATAAACTGCTTCAAGACAAGTTCCCTAGCACCTTCTTCCAACCATGCAGCCATCCCTAAGCCAAAACTATATAAAACTTCTGCGACCTCTTCCGAGAATTATGTTCTTGCATCAATAATAAAATCTAAGTGATATGGTTAAAATTCCAGCAAGAACTTAACTCTATTAATTCTTAAACAGCATACAATTTTGATGTCTTCCCCTGGCATTGCAGTGTGGAAATTATTATCTATGTTAACATTTTGCATAAATTTAGTAATATTTTGATCATAATATTCAAATTAAAATAACCATATTATTAGTACATATTTCATATTAACCCTTAAACTGTCCAAACGTAGATCTATGTTTTTTCAACATTTGAATGTAAAAAAAGTAGATTTTTTTTTTTACATTTGAAAACATGTAAAATTTTTTTTTTTATTATTATAATTGTAAATATGTAAAAAAACGTAGATCTACTTTTGGAGCACTACGCATGTGAATGTAGATCTGCTTGGACAGTTTAAGGGTTAAAATAGCCATATTATCAGTATTAAATTAATGAGCCATATTAAGCTGCACACTCATCCTAACCACTTAAGAAAATTTATGTAAATCAGATATGTACATTAATACAGAAGCCCATCAGTACTTCAACATGCACAGGAAAGATTCAACAAACATGCACAGGAAAAAGTTCTTATATTTAAAGTCTTACCTGTCATCTTCCATAATTTGTGTGTCCAACTCAAACTTGTACTGGAAGCCTGAGCAGCCTCCACCTTCCACGATTACCCTGAGGAAGGATTTATCATCATCAATGATCTCCTTCAGCCTGGCCACACATGAATCACTCAAGATTAGGCCCAGGTTGGGATTAGCGTTCTCCGCTGATGATGCTACTGGATGCGTTGTCGTTGAAGAATGTCTCAAAGTCAGAGTCCTCTGGTACAAGTGTGAGGCTGCAGACCACGACAATGGCGTTCTGAAAGAGTACAGTAAATACTGAACTAAAAGTGGGAAAATATTTGTACAGTAAACCCTCCATTTAACAGACTCTGGAAATACAGAAAAAAAAGAAACTGTTGGGTCAAATAAATTTGGATACCATGGACAAAGTCCTTCTATCACAGAATTGTTCATTATTGTTACAATCACAGTAAAACACTCTTTTCTCTATCCATTATAACTGCCATTACTTGCCACCCAATTAGTATATTAAATAAAGAAGTTACTGTATTATTATACTTATGGGAAAAATTGAAACCCATAGTGATTATTCTTTGCCTGGGGTATAGGAAAATATAAAGTTCATATCTTTGAATATAATAAATTAAGTTTTGTTGAAAATGCTAAACAATATGGGATTTGTAAAAAGATCATTACATACAATTTTACTGTGCTGCAAACTGATTTCTTAACTGACAATAATTTACTTTAACTGTGATGCTCATCATTTCAGCCGATGACCACCAAGTCACCAGAAAAGTCAATGCTTGTCTGCACTGTTGCAGCACTTGCATGTAGTATTACAAAGTCAAATCTGCACAGCTTATCATGGCAGCAGGGTAATACCTGGCTAGTCCTACCTGAAACTGTCAATATGAACCACTATACAGGTGGGGTTAGAATCAATGGCCTGGAATTTTATGACTTACTTGCCATGGGTTCTAACCCCACCCCTACTTTGGTTTGTTTGCAATTGCATTATTATTTTGTAAGTCATTTACACAATTACTGTATTATTATTATTATTTTTTTTATTATTATTATTATCACACTGGCCGATTCCCACCAAGGCAGGGTGGCCCAAAAAAGAAAAACTTTCACCATCATTCACTCCATCACTGTCTTGCCAGAAGGGTACTTTACACTACAGTTTTTAAACTGCAACATTAACACCCCTCCTACAGTATTATACTAAGGACCCATGAGGATCATTCAGAGCAAGGAGTAGTAAAGGTTCATTCTTCTGTTTGCCAACCACAAGGCAGACAATACCCACCCCACAAAAATGCCATCAACATATACTCAGCCTGGCACTGTGCCACTTGCTACACAATAGCCCAAGGAAGTGGCTCGAATCTCTCACATTCTGGCCTTTGGAGTCAAAAGACTGTCAGAGATTAGCTCTAGGCTTACTTCAACATACTTTCGCATGCAAGGGTCTTCTGGTGTCCCATGGTTCGGTTGGCAATGCACCCACATCAATTCCCCATGAAAGCAAAAGACTCGACAGGCAGTGCAACATCTCCCCAATGAAAAGCAGGGGTGCCATAAGTACACTTAGAGACAACACAATAAGTATCAGGGGCTCAAGACTGTCAAACTGCCTCCAAACACACACAAGGAAGATTACCAATAGACCCCTGGCTTCATTCAAGCAGCAGGACAGGCACCTAAAGTCAGTTCCTGACCAACCAGGCTGTGGTTTATATGTCGGTTTGCGTGTGGCCAGCAATAACAGCCTGGTTGATGATGCCCTGGTCCACTGCAAGGCCTGATCATAGACTGGGCCACAGGGGGTGTTGACCCCTGAAACACTCTCCAGACATGTTTCCTTACACCTGCTGTCCCTGTTCACCTAGCAGTAAGTACGTACCTGGGTGTTAGCCAACTGTTGTGTGTTGCATTCTGGGGGACAAGATTGAAGAACCCCAATGGAAATAAGACAGACAGTCCTAGATGATGCAGACTTTATTGGGTTATCCTGACCAGCTAACCCTTCAGGTTAATAATCCAAACAAATCTTATCTTAACCCTTTGACTGTCGAGACCCCAAATCCCAGTGTCACCGTGTCGCAAAATATTAAAAAAAAAAAAAAAAAATTCTTATAAAATGACAGATAATCTTTTCCCGATGGTAATGACACTAAGACTATCAAATTTGATGGAAAACTTAGGGAATTATGCTCTCACGAAGTTAGCGATCTCGGCAATATATATACACATTGGCAATTTCACCCACTTTGAGCCTTATTTTCAGCCAATTCCATTGTTCCAGTTGATCAAACTCATAGCTATTTCTTTAGAACTCCATTTGTTCTATCAATTATACAAGAAACCACCTTTACCGTTTTAAAACTACCCAAAAAGGGGTCAAAAATTGGAAATTTGGGCCCAAATTTCATGCAAATTAAAAAAGATGCCAATTTAAAAACAGGGTCACTAAACAATGCAGACATTCCGGACAAAAATAACATTTTCCCTATTCATTAGTCAAGTCCCGGGTCCCCTTATATTACTCTTGCTTTCTATTTTGAATTTTTATTACAAAACAAAAATAAAGTTTCTGTTTGCAGACACTGCATTTTTAAAAAAAATTTAATTTTGTAAATAATGTCAACCCATTCGTGACTCATTTTAGAATGGCTAGATGGACACTTTTTGGAGGGTGACATCATTTGTTTACTCTTGAACATGGGAAAAAATCAAACTTTTCCCACTATTTTGATCTAAATTTTGAGGTCCTTTTTATCAAGGAACCTTTAAAAAACATCTCTACTTTTTAATATGTCTTCCATTCTTTTAAGAAAGACCAAGAAAACGAGAATACAACCATAAAATACGGTGGCCCCCCGCATAAAAAATATTAATCCGTTCCTGAGAGCTCATTTTAGCGAATTTTTTTTCGAATAAATTTTCCCCCTTAAGAAATAAGGAAATAAAAATTAATCTGTGCAAGACCCCCAAAAGTATAAAAAAAAAAAATTTTACCACTAAAATTAAAAATTTTCCTACACACAAAGAGAAGGATCATGCACAATAGTAGAGTATACAAAAATATATATTTTGCATGTACTACTCTACTAAATGAAGAATAAATGACACTTAAACTTTATTGAAAATGCAGCATTTACTGATGAACACTGGTCCGGGAGTGCCTTTTCCTCCCCGAGTACTGTAGGTCCTGTTTGGCATTTTTTTTCCAGAACAGCCTTTCACACGTATGCCACTACGATTCTTAAATTCTCAAACCAACCTTTGCTGGTTTAAAAACCCCAAATGGCATAGTTCCCGGGTTTTTTTCCCCGTTCACCCCGGGTGTTTTGTCGACTGGTGTGGGGGTTTCATCCTGGGAGACAAGATTAAGGACCCCAATGGAAAAAATTAAAGTCCTGATGAACTGACTTTTTTTGGGTTTTCCTGGGGGGTAACCTTGGGGTTAATTGTTTTTTTGGTATTCTCAATAAGCCACACCAACAACGGGGCTACAGCCAGCACAGCAGCAGCAGCTGACGTGCTACGCAGCGCAGCACAGCAGTTTACCATGGTACCACAGTATTTCGATAATATTTTTTCACCCTTTTTTAAAACCCCAGGGTTGGCACAGAAGCTTTCTTGGGGCCCCCTGGTCACTTTTTTTGCAGATAAAATCACCAAAAAACCTGTAATAAAAACGAAATTTTTCCATTGTATGCTTTGATGTTACCGCGGAGGCTGGCTTGTAAACAATGCCATCGGCGGAACATGTGAGGCTGGCTCTAGCCGCACATTAGACGCGTCTCGGACGAATAGTGTTGAGCGGGTTTTTTAGCGGTATGCGAGGCAAAATCTTAGCAATAAAATGTATCGGTATGCGGATTTAACATTATGTGATGCCAACGGTATGCAGGGGTCCACTGTACTTCACGAAAATACATCTCAAAGTCAGCATTTTAATCCAAAAACAATGTTTTTTTTTTTTCTCATTATGCACTGTGTGCTGCAGGGTTTTCTTTATACTGTGCACACTGACCACACAGACCCATTCTCTCACATGTGGGCCTACCAGCTTTCTCCCGCTTGATTTGAAGCCGCTAGAATTTTGGCGTATTAATACGTCAAAAACACTGGCTCCTAATACATATACGACACCGACAGTCAAGGGGTTAAAGACAGCTGCTTCCACAAAGGAACTCGGAAAGAGGAATGGTGCCTTAAGAGGCATGAATTGATAAAAGAAGAAATAAGATGATCAAAGAAGATAAAAAAAAAATGTTGAATAAATACAATACAGTTTCTCCTCACTTAGCAACGTATGTACTCATTTACCGATGATTCAGATTTACAAGAGCCTTTCTGACCAGTATGCATACCTAAGTAATGTATATTACAGCTGACTTCCTCTATTCCGTTTATTACAATATACAGTACATTACTGTACAGTGGACCCCCGGTTAACGATTTTAATCCGTGCAAGAGGGCTCATCGTTATGCGAAATAATCGTTATGCGAATGAATTTTCCCCATAAGAAATAATGGAAATAAAATTAATCCGTGCAAGACGCCCAAAAGTATGAAAAAATTTTTTTTTTACCACATGAAATGTTAATTTTAATACACACAAACTGAAAAAGGCATGCACAATTAAATGACACTTACTTTTATTGAAGATCTGGTGATGATTGATGGGATGGGAGGAGGGGAGAGAGTGTGTTAGTGTTTAGAAGGGGAATCCCCTTCCATTAGGACTTGAGGTAGTAAGTCCTTTTCTGGGGTTACTTCCCTTCTTCTTTTAATGCCACTAGGGCCAGCTTCAGAGTCACTGGACTTCTTTCGCACAAGATATCTGTCCATAGTGGCCTGTACCTCTCGTTCCTTTATGACTTGCCTAAAGTGTTTCACAACATTGTCAGTGTAATAATCACCAGCACGGCTTGCAATAGCTGTGTGAGGGTGATTTTCATCCATGAAGGTTTGCACTTCAAGCCATTAGCACAGATTTCCTTTATCTTTGTAGTAGGCAACTTCTTCAATTTCTCTCTCCCCTCCTCTGAACCAGTTTCCTCAGGTCTGGCCTCTTGCTCTTGAAGTTGATTTATCAGCTCATCAGTGGTTAGTTCTTCATTGTCCTCCTCACACCAACTCTTCCACATCCTCCCCACTAACCTCCAACCCCAAGGACTTTCCCAATGCCACAATGGATTCCTCAACTGGCACAGGATTCTCAGGGTTAGCCTCAAACCCTTCAAAATCCCTTTTGTCTACACATTCTGGCCACAGTTTCTTCCAAGCAGAGTTCAAGGTCCTCTTAGTCACTTCCTCCAAGCCTTACCTATAAGGTTTACACAATTGA